TAATTCACACATACCTAGTTGAATTTACTACTCACTAATGTCCTGGCATCGATTATTTGAGAAATGCCACTTCTAAACCTCTCTGAAAGCCCCCGGCAGTTCTAAGAGATGCACTGTCATTCTGCAGTAGTACCTCCACAATACCAACGGCTAGATGATATCTACATGCCTTTAAAGTTAGTTTCTTGAGGCAATCGGAAATACTAATAACTGCCAGAATGAGAAACCAACTTTGGTTTGTTCTGTTTTGCCAGAGATCTGAGACGAAATCACAAAGCCTCCTTACAAAGAGAAAATTGAATTCGCAGAATTTTTCGTTAGGCAATTCAAAGAGATTTTGCAGACATATATGTCCCACTTGTTGAAACTGGCATTTCTTGAGAATAAAACCCTCTGGTATATAATCATCAGTTTGTCGGGATATGGCTGAGATGTCCTAAGAGCCTTCAGGACTCTCATGCCTAGCGACATTGACGTCTGTGAGTGTCACTGAAGGGACTCTCCTTTGCGTCCCTCCTCCAGCATCCTGCCAGCAACTGTGACATAGGAAATACTTTCCTGCAGAGCAATTAGGGAAAACTCTGGGGAATCACCAGAGAGGGTAGCTGTTGCTATGTTTTTGTCTGTTTTGCCAAGAAGCCGGGAAAACAACTACACTAAGAGAATTCCAAAGTAGAGATCCTTGAACGTTAACTCAGCATCCCAGTTGCCACCTCTCTCTTCTTCCCTGCCTGCAGCCACCCCACACAGTCCCAGTACCTCTCAACCAGATGCAAAATTGTGATCTTTCAAGATCATTTCTGGGTTGATACTCTAACCCTTGGGAAGGCGCCTTGCTTTAGGTTTTGTTCATCGTCAGCTCCTCAGTCACTTGGCTCCTTGTACCAATAGCAGTTGTACAGTTCAGCCTCAGAGCTGAATCCAGGTTATGCTCATTGCTTTATTAATTGACTTAAGAAATTGCTAACACCTTGAGAACTTACTGTTTGCCAGAGACTTTTTGAAACAGCACTTGAGATTTATCTTCTCAGCTTTTCACAGTAACCCAGTGAAGTTAAATATTTTTATTCTCGCTTTGAAGAAGGGGAAATTGTGGATGAGTAACTTGCTCAAGGTTCTTCAGCTTGTAATTTGCAGAGCAGAGATTTAATTTCAGAATATTTGACTGAAGATGACATTTTTAACCAATAAGTTACCTTGTGTTCCTTTTTATAAGAACCATAAATAGGAGAATTTGATGGAGCAGTGTGGTGGTACCTGCCTGTAATCCAAGCATCCCAGGAGGCTGGGAAACTTAGTGAGACCCTGTCTCAAAATAAAAAAGGGCTGAGGATGTAGCTCAAGGTGAAGGCCCTTGGTTCAATCCCTAGTACTAAAAAACAAAATTATTGTTTCACAGGCATTTTAAAAAAATGATATCTACATAAAGGAGTTTTTGTTTTGTTTTTGTGTTCTGCAAAGACAAGTATATAATAATGGGTATCATACCTTGTATGCATATGAACATCTTAGATGAGCAAATTGGACTCAACACATAATTTTTTAAAGTAAAAACAGAAAGCCACTGGTAAGGGAGCTTGTTTTACAGTGAATTTGTGTGTTAAACATCACATTTCACTCTGTGATATTTGCTGGTTTGCACAACCACTGCCATTTAAATTGATTCCCTTGTCATGATAATAATGATTAAGATTATCCCAATGGAACGGGTGCCTGCTTTGCCCAGGGCTCACAAAAGCCGTCTCTAGAGATCCAGGCTTTCCTGGCAATGAAAGGTTACCAAACAAGGCTGCTATATTCTCCGTGGATAAATAGTCCTCGGTGCAGAATGAAGGAAGTCAAGGAAAGGATGGAAGGATCTTTGGCCAAACAGAGGGGAAATTCCACTGAACTGGAACACTGCGAATGGCAGAAGGCTGTGAACAATGGTGGGCTTCCAGAATGGGAGGGAAACAGGTGTTCTTGTTCATTGAGCTTGTAGGTAATTGAGAATCAAGTAGGAAAATGGATGTTTAAACAAACAAACAAAAAAAGGTGGCGTCAACTCAAATCTCTGTGAAAAGATGAATGGTAAAAGTAATGCAGCATAACTGTACAAGGGAACGTCATCCTGGGATGGAGTACTAAAATGTGCTGCAAGGCTGATCAACTTTAAAACACTGCAGAAGTGAAAGAGTCCAGGCACGAAGGACCACAGAAGTGTGTGATTCCATTTGTACGAAATATCTGGAACAGGCAAATCCATAGGGACTCCAGAGACTAAAGCAGCTTCGTGGTTGGCAGGGCTGGAGGAAGGGAGGATGGGGAGAGTCTGCCCAGTGGGTGTGACGTTTCTTTTTGGGGTGAGATGGCACAGTTTTTAAAAAAAACAACCATTGCCCAGCACTCGGGCGGCTGAGGCAGGAGGATCGCTGTGAGTTCGAGACCAGCCTGGGCTACAGAGTGAGTGCCAGGTCAGTCTCAACTACATAGCGAGACCCTGTCTTAAAAAACCAAAGGGGAAAAAAAAAGACAACTACTGGAGTTACTGTTGACTTAGATGAAATTTCCTTGGGGAGCAAGGGCATCAAACAACCCCAAAATGGAATACTAAGGAAGGAGGAAGAGGGGATCCTGTATGGATAGGGGAGAAACAACAGGGATTGGTGGTCCAGGAACTGAGGATGCTGATGGCAAACCTAACTTGTCCATCCCTTTTGGGGACTCTGTTTTTGTTGTGGAGAGGTTGATGTGTGGGTGACTTTAAAAAGCTGAAACTCGAGAGCCCAAGACTGAGCTTCCTCAAAGGATGGCAGTGACCACAGTAGGAAGCCCAGGGGCCTGCATGCAAAGTCACAAGGCCCAGCGGTGGCCTGAAAAAGCAGGAGATTGCACCCTGGACATCACCGTAATCATCAGAGCTGGGAGCAGCTGTCCCTTAGTCAGGCCTGTGCTCTCCACGGTGACCCCTCTCTGGGCTCCCATTACTCATTTCCTGTAAATGCCGGGTCCTGCAGGTAGGAAGTCCTCTGCATCTGCTTCCCTTTGTCCTGCTCCCTCCCCACAGCCCAGCCACCAGTTCCTAACTGTCAGACCAGCAGGTCAGAGTTGTGGGCTCGCTGCCTAGAAAGGAACACACTGACCTGGGCATGTGGTGTGTGACTTTCCCAGTTCCATGTTCTAATTCCAGTGTAGATGACATCTCGCAAACATGAGATGCCTCGTTTTAAGTGAATGGAGCTGATCAAGTAGGGAACCTCCAAAGTGGCTATCTTTAGTAGTTAATCCAAAAGCTGATGCCCCACCACCACATAATAAATGAGAAAGCAGAGCTAAGTGGGTGTTACCAGGGCAACTTCTTCAGAAAATGTAGTCTTTCCTTACTCAAGATGTGTTCCAGCACTCTTGATGTTTTCTCTTTCAGAAGAAAGTTAACACACCTCCACATATACACAGTCAACCATTTCTGGTGGACTCAAGGAGCAGTACCTGCTCGGCTAAGCTGAGAGGAGGGAGCATGAACTGGCACAGGGAAGAGTGTGAGGGGCGTGGCTTTTCTGTGCCCTCTACTGCCTTTTACCTTGAGTTCCTCTTGGTCACCCAAGACCACTTCATGCCTCTGCACAGGCTGGCATCATTGCCTGGAATGCCATTCCACTCTACCCTTTTCTCCCCTTGGCCAACTCAAGTTCATTTCTTAAAACTCAGCTCCAGAATCATTTCTCCCATGAATATTTTTTTCTTTTCTTTCTTTCTCTTTTCTTTTAGTACCAGGGATTGAATGCAGGGAGTGCTGACCTATATCCCTCTCCCCTTTTGTGGGAACAAGTCTTGTCAGGTTGCCCAGGCTGGCCTCAAACTTGCAATCCTTCTGCCTCAGCCTCCCAAGTAATTGAGATTATAAGCGCGCACCACTGTGCCTAGATCACGAAATATTCCTTGACCACTCCAGTCTGGTTAGGTGCCTCCTCTGAGATCCCTTTGACTCACTGATAGCCTCACTCCCACCACACCTTCCTGATCTTACTCCTGTGTCTCCTACTAGACTCTAAGTTTCTCAAAGGCAGCTGGAGCCAGTGTGCCAGAGTGTGAGTTCCAGCTTCACTGCTTTCTAGCTGGATGACGCAGCGAGCTAGGTTAACTCCGTTCTTCCATCTGCAAAATGGGCATGATCGCTCCTGATTGTTTTGATTATTAACATTTGCAAAATACCTACCCACTGGCTAGAACATACATGTTCAATAAATAAATGAACTATGAAAAGAAAGCATAGTTATTATTACAGTTATTGTTGTTAATCTTTTCTCCACTCCCAGTGTCTATGACAAGTGAAGCAAGCGCTCAGCCAGTTGGGCCGGAATGGGGTTGTGGTTAATGTGTTCGCTGTAGTTGACCTGTGCTGCCCCTTCAGGCAATGACCAGCTCTTTGTGGACTGAGCGCCTGCACTGCAGCTAATCCAAGCTGAGGTGTGTGGTGAGTGCAAAAACTACACCATGAGCTGGAGCCCTCACATGGAAGACAGGGCGTGAAATACCTCATGATAGCTTCCATACCAGTTCCATGTTGAGAGGACAAGCTTCGGGATAGTTTAGGTTAAATAAGACACAGTCTTAAAAATAGTCTTGCCTGCTTTTTTAAATTTTTAAAATGAGACTGTAAGGGTATGTGTTTGACTATGTTATATATCTACGGGATGGCACAGATCTACAATGTTCCGAACCTACTCTTGGTAGAACACATCTTCACACAATCCCATTTAAACTCAGGTGTGATGTGAGCTTTGGGAGTGTAGATAATTCATTTAGAGGAATGATCAGCTGGGAATGGAAGGTTCACCTGGGGTGAGTGGGGGTGAGGCTCAGTGGGAGAGCATTTTCCCAGCATGCACAAGGCCCCAGATCAGACCCACAAAAACAGGATAATCAGTCAGTCTTCGAAGGCTTTCGCAGGTGGCGTTAATAAGCTAATATACAGAAGCAGTAGGTAGAAAAGGGACTAACGCTGTCTGGGGATTGTCCAGGTTCGCTGTGATCCTGAGATTCAAGAGTTGCGTCAGTGGCAGAAGAAGCTCCGTGAAGACAGGCACATTCACCAGCGAGTGCAAATGTTCTGGGCCAAACAAGAACAAAAAGGTCAGTTGCTTGGTGCACAGCCCTGCGCTTATTCAGGAAAAGCCTGATTCTTATTCCAGGCTCAAGAAAGAAGCCCTCTGAGATTTCAGAAGGTCCTTGTGTTTGCACAGAGCTCAGTCTGTGTGTGGGGGAAATGGCAGCATGTTAAGGTTCTGTTCTGGGAAGGCGTGGCCATTTCCTTCCCTGCGGGCAAATTCAGTGTCACCTTCTCTCTGCAGGTTTTTAAAATTTTAAGCCATGCGATATCAGAATAAGCCATTCTTTTGAAAACATGGTGTCTGTCAACCTCAGAGGTAGTTATTCTTCAAATTATTGATTGTGTGCCTGAATTTAAATGATATTTTATGCTGTTTCCTCTTGTGAATGTTAATTTTATGTGTCAATTTGACCGGGTCCCTGGATGCCCAGATAGCTGGTAAATTTTATTTCTGGATATACTGTGAGGATGTTTCCAAAATATGAATTTGAATTTGAATTAGTGGACTGAACAAATAGGATGGTCCTTCCCAAGGTGGGTGGGCCTCATTCAATCTGTGAGGGACCCAATGAAACAAAAGGCCAGGAAGGCTGAATGAACTGTGCCTGACTATTGGAACTGGAACATTGGTCTTGTGCCCTTGTGGTTTCTGCTTCTTAGACTGTCAGACCTGAGCTGGGATTATACTGCTGGTTCTCTGACTCTCAAACCTTTGAACCACACCAGACTTCTCTGGTCTCTAACTTGCAGACAGCACATGCATGGTGGGTCTTCCCGGTCTCCATAATTCTCTGAGCTAGTACCTTACCATAAATCTCTTCCTTATATCCAAGGTTCATATTCATATATATATATTATATATATATATACACACATACATATTCATATATATATATTATATATATATATACACACATACATATTCATATATATACACACATATGGCCTCCTATTGGTTCTGTTTCTCTAGCAAACTCTAATATGCCTTCTTTTTGAGCAGTTGAAAACATACACATGAAGTACAAAGACTAATATAGCCCGTATTCATCATCTGTCATATACAAGTGTTGATCTTTTCTCTTGTTTTCCTTCGTTCTTTTTTTAGCTTAGGTTATAACATAGTCCTGGTAACAAGATTAGAAAAGTAGAGGCCAAAAAAAGGGAGAAACCCAGAAATCCCACCATGATTAATATTATATATATATATATATATTTATATATATGCCATTCCCAATATAAAAAAGATACAAACATATATATTCATATTTTATTAAAAATTGAATTATGTATATAAACTGTTAGATACTGTTCCTTTGCCTTTGCCTCTAAAATTCTCTGAATATCATTCTTGTTAGTAACTAGACAGCAGCATCATGATATTTAACAGCAGTGTGGTATACGTTTAGCATCATTTAGTTAACCAACAATGTGGAAGGAGATTCAGGATGTATTTTCAAGTGAAAAAATTGCAGAGCTATATTTTCTTCCAAATGTGAAAATACACGTATGGAAATTGAGATATCTAAACAGCCTGGAAGATAATTGATGGTACTTACCTTTGGGAATTGGGGTTAGTGTCCTTTGGGAATGGAGTTAGTGTCCTGTTGGAATCTTTCAAATAAACACATGATACTTTCCAATTATGGAAACTTACAAAAAATATATGCAGCTTAGTGGACGGTAGGCCCTGCATGCTTTTCACCCTTCACTGCCCATCCTGTCCTAGACCACTTCCCTCCGTGGGCTGCCGCCCCACCACCCTGGGCCTTTTTCTGTTCTTGTGATAACACATGTAAAGATCCTCATCCCTGGCTTCCATCATTTCCCTTCCTTTCTGCACATCACCAGTTCTTCTGTGGCCCCTCTGTTGTATCCTTTCAAAGTGGTCATTGCCTCCTCAGAGAAAGCATCCATAGCTATGCTGTCTAAAGGGACAAGGGAATTGCTTCTCAGCCTTTTGGCCAAGTTCAAGTGTAAAGGGACGAGGAAGCACTTGTTGAGAAACCTTAAGATGGTGTGGCCCAAACAGAACTTTTATTTTCTGTCCGTAAACTGCCTCTAACCCTGCCCTCCTGAATCTCTCTTCAGTCCCTTAATGGCATATTGGGTGGATTCTATGTGTTTTCTGTAAGCTCTGATTCCATGAAGTCTAGTCTAATTAATGCATCTCAATCTCAGATCCAGTTTAAGGCTCACTGCATGGGAACGGTGAAAAAGCTAAAAGGTCTTTCATGACTGTACCTGTTCCTCTTCTGGATCTGTTCTTTCTTCTAAATGTCCTGATTTTGATCAGTGTACTCAGGTTAGATAAGACATCAGCTCGCTGTTAAGATACATGGTGAAACTTTTAGGAGTCACGGGACATGACATGCATCTTGGTCTTAAGTGATTCAGAAAAACAATACACAGCACACACGCACACATGTGAATACACGCAGAGAATAGAATGCAAACGTGAAATACAGAAATTGGTGAATCTAGCAGTTCCTGGCACAATTACTACAACTTTTCTGTAAAGTCACAATAGTTTTCAAAGTTTCCAGTTACAATTGTAGTGCTTCATCTCCAGAGATTCTGACTTTGTTGCTTTGGAAGGAGATGATGGGATGCAGTGGTTCCCAGCTTCTACCACTCCACTAGGACAGAGACCCCCAAGAGGAGCTCTGGGTAACTCGATGAGTCCTGCTAATTGAGTGACTGTGCTCCTGTTCTCTGTTTCCTTGGCGGTTGTCTCCCCCACTAGAGTGTAAGCTCTGTGAGGACAAAGACCCACTTGGCCCGGTTCGCCCCCTAGGACAGGGCCTGGCTCAAAATGAACATTAAAATAAAACTTGAATGAGTATGTGAATAAATGCAGTTGTGACGCCTAAATGAGTCACTCACACAAGTGCCTGATGCAGAGCAGATGGAGCACCTCACGCTGGCAGCCCGAGTGTCCCTCATAGGTGAGCAGCTTGAGCAATTATTGATGCTTGGCTGGCTCAGTCCGGGCCTCTCTTCCACATTCAACTTCCCTCAACACTGTTTCATTCCACTTCCAGTTGGAAGACAATCAGGGCTGTAATCAGCTTAAAGGTCAAGAACAGGGTGTCCTTTTATTGCCCTTTTATTGCTGTCATTCTGTATTCTCTGGAAGTGATTTGCTGTTGTTGGCTGATTGATTTGGCTGGTTATGGAGCAGGAAGAGTAGAGCAGACTGAGTGTGGTCAACAGCCAGCAGGGGAGCAGAGGATAAACTGTCTCCTTCTAGTTACCGGTGGCTCCATGGCCCTGCCACCTTCCAAGGCCCCAAGATGCTTTCTATGCAAGCTATATCTTTAGTAAATCTCCCAGTGTGAACTAGGGTGTAAAATTTCCATTTCTGCGGAGACTATGAAATGGCCTGTGGGCAAAAACAGACCATTCTAATGACTCTCCCCCTGATCTGTAGTTAGTTAAGAGTAGCACTGATAAGAGTGCCTGCCTCTTAAGGCCCTGGGTTCCATCCCCAATGTCTCTCTCTCTCTCTCTCTCTCTCTCTCTCTCTCTCTCTCTCTCTCACACACACACAC